TCACAACTAAAAAGCGGTGGCATTTTCGTAATTTCAGTAAAAACGCGGTTTTCGTTAGATGAGCATTAATACACTTTTAATGAGCATCAGACGTATTGTTCTGAGCATTAAGAGTCGAATAACGTATATTGTAATTAGCTATCTTTTTCTTATTTTATCTTTTATAAACATCATTAAATGATATCTATAATCAACTTCTATAAACTTCGATATGCGAATTTAATGTATTATGATACTTTTGAAATATGCATTGATATGTCATTTTAAAATGAACATATATTAGTTCCAAATGAGCATACACAACTTTCAAAATGCGCATAAATATGAAAATTGTAAGGTTTGTTAGTTGGACGTCGTGGCATTTTCATTGACCATCAAACCTCCTATACTGAGATGAAAATAATGGTTTCTGTTAAATGAGCATTAATGAATTTTTAATTAGTACTAGACCTGTTCCGTTGAGTATTAGGAGTCTAATATTGAGCATCGTAATATCTGCTTCATATCTTCTAATTCACTTTTTTTTTGCTTTTATAGAAATTTATATCTACAATCAATTCCTATGAAGTTCAATATGTGAATCTAATGTATATGATAGTTTTGAAATATACATTGATATGACATTTTTAAAATGAGCATAACATCAGTACGGATTGATCATATGTAGCTTACAAAATAAGCATTAATATGAAAATAATAAACTTTTTTGTATATATTTCCTGATCAGTGTTCTAAAAGGCGTGAGGCGTGGCAAGGCGTTGAGGCCAAGCCTTAAGCCTTTGAAGCTTAGGCGAGAATAAGCGAAGCCTAGGCGGGAAAAGGCGTTCTAGATTTCTATTTATAATTACTACGTACTATTTTATAGTGATATATGAAGAAAATAAATAAATGTTCAAAATATATTACACAAGATTGAGTCTAATTTTTACTTTGCTCAATATGTATAAATTTTAAATGTATAAAAAGTCCAAACACAAAATGATATGTTGTTGTTTTTTACTGCTCCATATTAGATTATGCACGTATGACTACAATAGCTTCAGTCAACTTAGACAGAAAAATAACTTTAACCGAGCTTATTTTGATTATTACACGATCGAAGTGGATGAACAATAAGAAAGTTCAAGTTCTATGCTTGAAGGAAGACGTTTGATGATGTTCTCTGTGAGCAAAATTGAGGTACATACCAATTCATGAATACTTGATCAAGTATACAATTATTAAAGCTGAATATGTGTCGTTGAAAGCAGTGGTTAGTCAAAGAGAAATATGTCTGATCTTAAGAAGATGAAATGTGGAATTATTTATTTTTTATTAGTCAATTACTCCTAATTATTGTGTCTGCTGCAGCTTTTAATATTAATTTTTTTATTTAATCTGATTTATTTATTTGGATGTTTTATTGATTATTTGTTTATTTGCACTCCTAATATTTGCCTATGAAGCATATTATACAAAGCGGGTGTGTCTATTAATATGAGCATTGATGCGTTTGATTTTTTTTAAATGTTAATTATTTGCTTTCAACCTCCCTAAAGGAGAGCTTTTGTAAAACATATAGTGTTTGCAAAAAATAGTGTTTGCAATCACCTGCTTCTACTTAAAAAAAGTACTTTGCTAATATGGGAGGTTGAAAGCAAATAATTGGGAGTGCATGTTTGCTTTCAACCTCCCTAAAGGAGAGCTTTTGTAGAACATGTTTGCAATAACTTAAAAAAATTGTGTTTGCAAACACTGCTTTATTATAGTGTTAGCCGTGTTAGCAGTGTTTGCTAACACTTAAAAAAAGCACTTGTGAGCTTTTAACTTAAATAAAGCAGAAAATAGTGTTTGCAATCACCTGCTTCTACTTAAAAAAAGTACTTTGAAGCCAAAAGCTGGAAGTTGGAGTTGGGGTGCTTTTAACTGCTTATTGGTTTTTTTTGTAATTAATTCAAACTTTTAGGATAGTTATAATGGAACATTTATTTAGCTTGGACCAAAGATACCCTCATCTCCTTCGGTACTTCTTCCCCCGACTCCATAACTCCCGTTTAGCTCCTCACCTGCTCATTCCATACATATATAATTATATATAATTAATTATATATATAGTTTTATTAATTAACAAGAAGTCAGAAGAATGGAAGGAGAGCGCAAGGACCCAGGCGCTCTGAGGCTGCCGTGAACAGGATCACCGCCACAGCTAAACTTCCAGATCTGTTGAGGCAGCCCGTTCTATATGGGTTCCATGTCTTTTGGGATAGATCGTTGTGATGTCTTTCAACAGATGAATGAATTGCAAGAAGCAATTTCGAACAAAAGAGGAAGCAATTGCAGATTTGCAGGGAGGAATATATGCTACCTTATACGGCTTTCTATTTTTTCAATTGAAAGAAGCAATTGCACCCTTGCAGGAGAGATGGTGCCTCATACTGCCTGCTTTGAAAGACAAGATCGGCTTTGAGGCTGGGCAAGGGAGAGATGCTTGAAAATTTTATATGTCAAGGGCATTTTTGTAGTTAAACAAAATATTCCTTTAAAAATCACTTTTTTACCAAACACTTCCACTTTAACTTTTTCATCTTAATCACTTCTATTCCCAAACACTACATACTTTTACTATAAATCACTTTTCCAATAATCTCTTAAAAAAATCACTTTTAAAAAGCACAAACAATCGCAAACACTCCCGTAGTAAGCTTCATGTCAAGGCCAGGCCTATTTTTCATAACATGTGTGCACTCTTGAGATAGAAGCTAAGGGCATGCTAAATATCATAGTATGCATTACTTTAAATCATTCGTATTAATAATTAATGCTTACTGGGAATGATAGGTGAATACTATTTGAATCCTTACTTGCTACTGAATTTAACAAAATTATTCATTTCCATTGTTTTGTAAATCTTCCTATATTGTCATTGGCCTTCTCATGACAATTGCTAAACAAACAAATCCAATATTGATATTCTAATGGAATAGATACATAACATTCCACGAGTGCCGATGGGGGGGGGGGGGGTACGGTAATGGATGGTCCCTCCGATGTTTACAAGTCCAAAGCCATTAATAAGCTAGTTGAGAACTCTCATAGCGATATAGCAGGGTTGAGGAAGGGCAGGGAGGCTGATATGGATGGCATGTTCAAATGCAGGATGAGAAAGAGGAATTGGAGCAGTACTTGCAGGTGGTTTTGATGAACACTGATTTACTGGAGGGATGAGGTTGCTAATATGACTTCCAAGTTTCAAGCCATCCCACTCTGCTTTATGATGATGAATGATGATACATGCCAAGCAGCCATTCAGGTGGTATGCTCCCCATATAAATGAGATTTTAAGGCCATTGGTATAAGGATTATTATATTTCCAGTTGTATGATAAAATGATAATGCGCAATACCTCTATAGATTTTTACACTTTTTGGCAATATTAAAATCATTTGTACTAATAGTGAAATTACAAGTTTTTTTCTCCCAAAAAGAAAGATACATAATATTCTTTCTACATTGTTTGATCATGTTGGTGTATTTAGTTGATCTGGTATTATTTTTACTCTTATATGCTTTATTTACTTGACAACATGGATTTACATTTACGCGACAACTCATGCTAAGGCTTCTCAATACATTTTCTCGCCAAAATCTTGGATTGCTTGAAAAGTATTTTTCAATTATGCTAAAAGTTCCCCGACTCATTGATTTGGACAACAAAATGAAGATTATCAAAGAAAGTGAAGACAAGATAGTCAACTGCGAAGAATTGTGTGTTAAGATGCATAAGAAGAAATGAAGGAAAATAGAATCATATACTACGTAATAGATATATGTAATACATGCATTGATATATTATATTGAATTACATAATTGTTGTGATACTTTTATTTATTGTTTTTTGTTACTTTTTGTTGTATCGAATGTGTTGATATTTGTTGCATCCTGTTTTTTGTTGTTGTATTGAATGTGTTGTTTTTTTATTGCATCATGTTGTTTTTTGTTGCATTGTGTGTTTTTTGTTGCATTGTGTTGCATTTTGTTGCATTCTGTTATTTATTATTTTTGTTTTTTGTTGATCTTGATTTTTGCTACTTCTTTGAGGTAATTTATCATATATATTTAATTAAATAATTTAAAATGATACATTTGAATCAATGAATATAAACCAACCATTAAAAACATAAAGAAACAATAAAAACAAATATTTTAGTGTTATCAATAAAAGGTAACAAAAAGAAACAATACACAACAGTACAAACGCAGACAACAAAACTATATACTTGTAATAAACATTATTAAATTTTGTAACTGTTTAAGAAAATTGAATTACAAGATTCATATTTTTCAAAAAAAATTAATTGTTTCAATGTTAAATTTTCTTTTAAATTTTATTATTATTTTTGTAACACCGTCCCCAAATATATTTACGTTCATGTAAATAATGTATTGAACCTTATTAAAGGATTAATGAATTTACGAAGTTGTAAATTTTTATTATTTCTTTCGCGTGAATAGTAAATTGCACGTGGGACCCACACCGGGAGCGAGGGGCCACCCGATATTCCCGAGATCACATAAATCATTCTTATGGGTCGAAATAATATTTATATAGTGGTGGATATTTTATTTGGGTCGTGAAAAGGCCCAGAGTTGACCGATTGGGCAAAAGAGGCCCAAATACCGGGTACCGACAATTTAACAGATAACAGCCCGAAAATGAATTTCGGAGACTTCTAAATTAATGTTTTGGAATACATATTATTTCAAAAGGACATTACGATTGAGAACACGTAAAATATTTTATTGAACCCGATAAAATAAAATATATTTAAAACAGTCCGAAAAATACAACTTTCGGGACCGATTGTACCTTTCGGGACAAGTTGGGATGACCTCCCACATGAGTGGGGGCCACCCCACGTTTTTGGGTCTCAAATGGGACTTGTGTGGCCGCACAACATGTGAAGATGAAGCTAAATTGATTGGAATGGGATCATTTGAGGTGTGGACCTCACCCACACACATTATTTGTCAATTAAGACAAAGAAGGACACTTCCTACCTCTTTCCTCATCCTTGTGCTCGACCAACCCCTCCAAGGAGAAGAAAATTGAACTCTCAAAACACTCTCCATTGCTGCAACTCGAGCTCAAGCCATAGAGGTCCAAGGAGGAAGATTTGAGAAGGAAAAATCTAGGAAAAGTGTGAATGATAAAGGTAATGACATCATATTAACTTTTCCTTTATTTTTCTTCTACCATATGAAGTATATATCATGTGAAGAACCTTTATTATGGTTCCATATGTTATAAGGGTGGATTCATGGGTTGGAAGATGGTTCTATGTCCAAGAACGGACTTAGAGGCCAAAACTACCGGTTCACCGGAAAATAACCTTTTTGAGGTTATGTGTATTAACATGGGTTTTATGACTATAAAACCTTGTTAGGAACTTGTAAAGGGTATTTCAAGTGGTTTCACAAAGTTGGAAAAGTCGCCGGAGTTGTCGCCGGAGTTGACCAAAAGTCGCCGGAGTTTCACCGGAGTTCAACTAAGAAGGGTAGAACTTCATAACGCTAGTTCAAGGTGAGTGGACGGCTTAATATCTTATAACTTTTGGGTTAATTATAAGATTACCTAAATAAATGTTATATGAATTCATAATGATGTTTAAAAGATATTTAAACATGTGATTAGCCAATAGGGTTAAGTTTGTATGAAAGAAATAGATTGTTTATGCATAGAATATGATATGAAGAATTATATAAAATGCATATTTGCTTGAAGTGTATTAGAAGCACAAATGAATATTTTAACTTAATTATGCGATGATTAAGTTGATTTGTACAAGGTTTGAAATGGCGGTCAACGACCACGTTGACCGGTGGATAATGGATTAATTAATACCGGTCGATATTAATTAATTGTACATTTACATAATTGCATGGCTTTGCATGGAATGTGATACATAAGTTTTATGTATTGGATTAGTTATGAATGGCTAAATATGATATAGACCCTACCTAGTGTGATATGTGGTAAGTCATAGGTCGGGTGGAGTACCCAAGGATCGGGCGGTTATCCTCAAAACTCGGTTATATAGGGTGGAGTACCCAAGGATCGGGCGGTTATCCTCAAAACTCGGTTATATAGGGTGGAGTACCCAAGGATCGGGCGGTTATCCTCAAAACTCGGTTATATAGGGTGGAGTACCCAAGGATCGGGCGGTTATCCTCAAAACTCGGTTATATAGGGTGGAGTACCCAAGGATCGGGCGGTTATCCTCAAAACTCGGTTATATAGGGTGGAGTACCCAAGGATCGGGCGGTTATCCTCAAAACTCGGTTATATAGGGTGGAGTACCCAAGGATCGGGCGGTTATCCTCAAAACTCGGTTATATAGGGTGGAGTACCCAAGGATCGGGCGGTTATCCTCAAAACTCGGTTATATAGGGTGGAGTACCCAAGGATCGGGCGGTTATCCTCAAAACTCGGTTATAGGGTGGAGTACCCAAGGATCGGGCGTGTATCCTCAAAACTCATAGGCTACATTTAATGATCTAGGACCGGATGGTGTCCTTATGATAATTCATTTGAACAAGGAGGAGTTCTATACACTCATAGGTATATGGGTGGGTTGGGATTTAAGTCAAGGATATTGGCTACTATTATTTTCCCAAATAAACAATGACCTACGGGTCGGGTATTTCCAAGTGTATGTATACTAATATGTATTTCAAACTTGGGGGAAGGACTATACGTATATGTATCATCCTATGTTTGGGTCTTATACTTGAAACGCTAGTTATTCTATATTTAGCCTGCTACTCGCTCGGTACTTGTACTGACCCCTTCGGGGGGCCCCACCATTCTCAGGTTGAAGCTAGGGCTTGCCACCTGCACCTTCCTACGGGTGACATCAAATCAAGGAAGACGTGGTTCGTGCTTCCTCATTTTATTTCAAATTACCAAACATTGCTCATGGATATTTTTATTTGTTATAAACTATTCTTTTGGGGCTTGCATGCCCATGTTATTGGCCGGTTGTGGCTTATGACTTACCGTTGAATATTTCCGCTATTCATTGGTTTAAATGTGATGTTGTTATGTATGTTTACTACTGAGTATGGATGGATTATTTTTCTCGAACGCCTTGTGTAATCAAGTGAGGTTGACTCGCGGGTGACATCACTTGATTTCACGGCGGTTGTACACGCGCTTGGATTGCGGTCTGGGGCGTGACAATTAAGTGGTATCAGAGCCATCTCAGTTCTAAACTATATAATCAACCTCTCACAAAAGATTTTACAAAAGAGTTCTTACCGAAAACCATGAGCATTGTATTTTGACGTTTATAGGACTATTGGTGCTTAAGTTGCAAGGCCTCTAATTGTTAAGACGGTACCCTTAACAATTGGTATGGTGGTGACTTGGGTCGATACGTGTCTATAACGTTTTTCTGTCAATTGACATTCATAGGAGTCTAAAGACTCGTCCAAATTCCGTTTCAGAAATGGAGGGTAAGCGAATGGCAACAAGAAATGACCCTAAGGGACAAGCGTCGGTAGCTTACCTTGAGGCTAGCCGGGCTGTGTCACGAGCCTTTACGGGGAGAGGAATAGGCCATGGGGGCCGTGAGGGCCGCCAAGCGGCAAACGCTAATCAAGAGGGCTCGATGTGTAACATGAACACCAGGAGGAACGAACGTAGGCGTCAGGCGAGGCGAGATCGGGCCACCTCCCAACGTGATATGACTGTCAGCCAAACCCATCCTTGGGCAAACGACCAAGGAGGAGAAAGCACTCTTACGGCACCGGCATCACCGGTGAAAAAGAAAAGGAACTCAAAGTGGCACACGTCCTTTCCTTACTCCTTAAGACCATCCAAATGTTCTAATTGCTCTCAGAAACATTTTGGAAAGTGCAACGAGCCCCCGATGTGCTACAAATGTGGGAGCACAACCCATATGAAATTAAGTTGCCCATGGAGGAGGCAACGAGAGACATTGCAAGCCGAGGAAGGGCTCACCGTGGAAGGAAACCATACGGAACCAACGATGAGCAACGCTACGTCCGTCAATCAAGGCGGGGCCCAAGCAAGGGTCTACGCAATGACCGAGGCGGATGCGAGAGCAAACCCGGACTCCGTTGCAGGTAAACACGTATTCCCATGTATTTCTAGGCTTACTTTGGTCATATACGTCGTTGGGATTGAGTGCGGGCCACCCCGGGGTCAAACCGGGTGAGTTAGGCCGAATCGGGCTGGAAACAGCCACTGCTGGCCAGGCACGCCCGCAGGCACGCCGTGCCTGGCATCGTGCCTGGAAGGCAGTGGCACCCGAAGAAGAAGAAAAAAAAAAAAAAAAAAAAAAATTGGGCCAGGCACGGCCGCAGGCACGCCGTGCCTGGCGTCGTGCCTGGAAGGCAGTGTGTCCGAAGGAATTTTTGGCCAGGCACGGCCGAAGGCACGCCGTGCCTGGCATCGTGCCTGGCCGGCAGTGGCAAGCAGGGTGAGATTGTTGCACGCACGGCCGTGCGTGCCACCCAGGCACGCCGTGCGTGGACCCCCAACACCCGAAAGTTGATTTTTTCGCCCCGTTCTTCTACGTTTGGACCCCCGTTTGTTTCCAAACATTAGTATTAACTTAATAACCTCCTAAAGATGTGTAAAAACACTAGAAAATGTATCTTACATGGTGTATAAATGTAGGAACATTAAAGATCAATGGTAGGTGTGTGAGGATCCTCATCGATACCGGGGCACAACGCTCATTCGTGAGTGAGGCGTTCGCCGAGGGCCTTGGCGTGCCATTGACACCTATGACGCAAGCGTTGCTAGTCTCCACACCGTTAAGAGACGACGTGGAGAGAGATCATTACTATCCCTCGTGTGAGGTAGAAGTGACGGGTCAACCTTTGACTTGTGATTTCGTACCTCTGAGCATGTTGGAGTTCGATGCAATCCTAGGAATGGATTGGCTCGAGAAACACCATGCTCGAGTAGATTGTTACACCAAGGTGTTGGAGCTCGAGGATGATCAAGGAAACACGCTATGTTTCGAAGGAGATCGGGGAAAATCTAATGCTTGTATCATATCCGTGATGAGAGCACGGAAGATGATGAGGAAGGGATGTCACGCATACCTTGCTTACGTGGTAGACGATACGAAGAAAGAAGTCGACATCAAGGATGTTCGAGTCGTGTGCAAGTACCCGGACGTCTTTCCCAAGGACCTACCGGGGCTTCCACCCGATAGGGAGATTCAATTTGTAATCGAAGTGGAGCCGGGGACCAAACCCAATTCGATTCCTCCTTATCGAATGGCACCGGCCGAACTTCAAGAGTTGAAGGTCCAACTACAAGAACTATTGGACAACGGGTTCATCTGACCCAGTCATTCACCGTGGGGAGCACCCGTACTATTCGTAAAGAAGAAAGATGGTACATTAAGAATGCGTATCGACTACCGACAGTTGGACAAGGTCACCATCAAGAACAGGTATCCCTTACCGAGGATTGATGACTTGTTCGATCAACTTCGAGGAGCAATAGTGTTCTCGAAGATTGACTTGAGGTCGGGGTATCATCAGTTGAAGATCAAGGAGAGTGACATACCTAAGAGTGCATTTCGCACTAGATATGGTCATTATGAATTCCCGGTGATGTCGTTTGGTTTAACCAACGCACCGGCGGCATTCATGGACTTGATGAACCGTGTGTTTAGTGAATACTTAGACCAATTTGTGATAGTATTCATTGACGATATCTTAATATACTCCAAGAGCGAGGAGGAGCACGAACATCATTTGGGGCTTATACTTGATCGGCCAAGGGAAAAGCAACTCTTTGCCAAGTTCTCTAAATGCGAATTTTGGCTCAAGGAGATTGGTTTCCTCGGTCATGTCATATCCGGTTCAGGCGTTGCTGTGGATAACGCCAAGATAAAAGCTATCATGGATTGGGAGAGACCCAAGAATGTGAAAGAGATACGTAGTTTCCTTGCCTTAGCGGGATACTATCGTAAATTTTTTGAAAATATTCTCCGTATTGGCGTCTCCATTAACGAAGCTCACAAAGAAAGGGGCCAAGTTCATATGGGACTACAAGTGTGAGAAAGGGGTTCCTTGAACTGAAGAAACGACTTACCGAAGCACCAGTCCTCGCCCTACCCATACAGGGGATAGGGTATGATATTTACAGCGATGCTAGCATCCAAGGGCTTGGATGTGTTCTGATGCAAAACGGTAAGGTGATTGCCTATGCTTCTAGACAATTGAGGAAACACGAGGTGAACTACCCTACCCACGATCTGGAGTTGGGGGCGGTAGTGTTTGCACTAAAGATTTGGAGACATTATCTCTACGGGGAGACATGTCACATTTATACAGATCGTAAGAGCTTGAAGTATGTATTCACTCAGAAAGAGTTGAATATGAGGCAGAGGAAATGGATGAAGTTGATCAAGGACTATGACTTGATCATTGACTATCATCCCGGAAAGGCCAATGTAGTGGCCGACGCACTGAGCAGGAAGAGTACGTCAGGGACGTTAGTTACTTGTCTGCAGGCATTGAGGGCACGCGTGGAGGTGTCCACGTGCGGGGCTCTCATTGCTCAATTTGAGGTTAGGCCCACCCTATTGGGCGAGATTAGTCGAAGTCAAGCCATTGATGAGGGATGTCAGAAGATCCGTGAAAGGATCCTTGAAGGACCCGTCGAGAATTTTCGGGTACGTGATGACGGTCTTTTATTGTTTAAGGATCGTGTGTGCATACCAAGGAATGAGGGACTCCAGAAATCTATACTTGAGGAGGCTCATTCTTCAGCTTATGCTATGCATCCAGGAGGTACTAAGATGTACCGAGATTTGAAGGAAAGTTACTGGTGGTCAGGTATGAAGAGAGACATCGCCGAGTATGTGAGTCGGTGCCTTACTTGCCAGCAAGTTAAGGCAGAACATCAGCACCCGGCAGGGCTTTTGCAGCCACTCACCATCCCAGAGTGGAAGTGGGAGCACGTGACCATGGACTTCGTGGTGGGGCTACCACGAACGGTGAACAACTATGATGCAGTTTGGGTAGTGGTTGATAGGCTCACCAAGAGTGCACACTTTTTGCCTATCAACATTACTTATCCTCTTGAAAGATTGGCCAAGCTATACACAGAGGAGATTGTGAGATTACATGGAGTCCCAATATCCATTGTCTCGGATAGGGATCCACGATTCACATCCCGATTTTGGCCAAAGTTTCAAGCATCGTTGGGTACTAAACTGAGGTTTAGCACAGCTTTTCACCCACAGACGGATGGACAGTCTGAGCGGGTGATACAGATTTTGGAAGACATGCTTAGGGCGTGTGCGCTGGAGTTCCAAGGAAGTTGGGACAAGCATTTGGCCCTAGTGGAGTTTGCTTATAACAACAGTTATCAAGCAAGTATCGGCATGCCTCCATATGAGGCATTGTATGGGAGGAAATGCAGAACACCTTTGTGTTGGGACGAGGTTGGCGAGGCTAAACTCGAAGGGATAGAACTGGTTGAGATCACCAAGGCCAAGGTGAGGATCATTCGGGATAGACTGAAGGCTGCTCGGGACCGACAGAAGAGTTATGCTGATAAACGGCGGAGACGGTTGGAGTTCGAAGTCGGTGATGAGGTCTTCCTAAGGATTTCTCCTTGGAAGGGCATCATTCAATTTGTATCGAGGGGAAAGCTTAACCCCCGATACATAGGTCCGTTTGAGATCCGTGAAAGGATCGGGGCCGTGGCTTATCGTCTCAAGTTAACGCCTGAACTTGAGAAGATACACGACGTGTTTCATGTATCAATGCTCAAGAAGTACATACGAGACCCATCTCATATTCTTGATAAACCACCGGTAGAGATCCGTGAGGACTTACAATATGCGGTTGAACCAGTGAAGATTGTTGGTCAACAAGTAAAGAAATTGAGGAATAAGGAGATTCCTATGGTAAAGGTCCTTTGGAGAAGTGATCGAGTCAAGGAAGAAACGTGGGAGACCGAAGTCTCAATGAGGGAACAATACCCATTTCTTTTCAATTAGATACTTGGATTTCGGGGACGAAATCCCAAATAAGGGGGGGTGAACTTGTAACACCGTCCCCAAATATATTTACGTTCATGTAAATAATGTATTGAACCTTATTAAAGGATTAATGAATTTACGAAGTTGTAAATTTTTATTATTTCTTTCGCGTGAATAGTAAATTGCACGTGGGACCCACACCGGGAGCGAGGGGCCACCCGATATTCCCGAGATCACATAAATCATTCTTATGGGTCGAAATAATATTTATATAGTGGTGGATATTTTATTTGGGTCGTGAAAAGGCCCAGAGTTGACCGATTGGGCAAAAGAGGCCCAAATACCGGTACCGACAATTTAACAGATAACAGCCCGAAAATGAATTTCGGAGACTTCTAAATTAATGTTTTGGAATACATATTATTTCAAAAGGACATTACGATTGAGAACACGTAAAATATTTTATTGAACCCGATAAAATAAAATATATTTAAAACAGTCCGAAAAATACAACTTTCGGGACCGATTGTACCTTTCGGGACAAGTTGGGATGACCTCCCACATGAGTGGGGGCCACCCCACGTTTTTGGGTCTCAAATGGGACTTGTGTGGCCGCACAACATGTGAAGATGAAGCTAAATTGATTGGAATGGGATCATTTGCGGTGTGGACCTCACCCACACACATTATTTGTCAATTAAGACAAAGAAGGACACTTCCTACCTCTTTCCTCATCCTTGTGCTCGACCAACCCCTCCAAGGAGAAGAAAATTGAACTCTCAAAACACTCTCCATTGCTGCAACTCGAGCTCAAGCCATAGAGGTCCAAGGAGGAAGATTTGAGAAGGAAAAATCTAGGAAAAGTGTGAATGATAAAGGTAATGACATCATATTAACTTTTCCTTTATTTTTCTTCTACCATATGAAGTATATATCATGTGAAGAACCTTTATTATGGTTCCATATGTTATAAGGGTGGATTCATGGGTTGGAAGATGGTTCTATGTCCAAGAACGGACTTAGAGGCCAAAACTACCGGTTCACCGGAAAATAACCTTTTTGAGGTTATGTGTATTAACATGGGTTTTATGACTATAAAACCTTGTTAGGAACTTGTAAAGGGTATTTCAAGTGGTTTCACAAAGTTGGAAAAGTCGCCGGAGTTGTCGCCGGAGTTGACCAAAAGTCGCCGGAGTTTCACCGGAGTTCAACTAAGAAGGGTAGAACTTCATAACGCTAGTTCAAGGTGAGTGGACGGCTTAATATCTTATAACTTTTGGGTTAATTATAAGATTACCTAAATAAATGTTATATGAATTCATAATGATGTTTAAAAGATATTTAAACATGTGATTAGCCAATAGGGTTAAGTTTGTATGAAAGAAATAGATTGTTTATGCATAGAATATGATATGAAGAATTATATAAAATGCATATTTGCTTGAAGTGTATTAGAAGCACAAATGAATATTTTAACTTAATTATGCGATGATTAAGTTGATTTGTACAAGGTTTGAAATGGCGGTCAACGACCACGTTGACCGGTGGATAATGGATTAATTAATACCGGTCGATATTAATTAATTGTACATTTACATAATTGCATGGCTTTGCATGGAATGTGATACATAAGTTTTATGTATTGGATTAGTTATGAATGGCTAAATATGATATAGACCCTACCTAGTGTGATATGTGGTAAGTCATAGGTCGGGTGGAGTACCCAAGGATCGGGCGGTTATCCTCAAAACTCGGTTATATAGGGTGGAGTACCCAAGGATCGGGCGGTTATCCTCAAAACTCGGTTATATAGGGTGGAGTACCCAAGGATCGGGCGGTTATCCTCAAAACTCGGTTATATAGGGTGGAGTACCCAAGGATCGGGCGGTTATCCTCAAAACTCGGTTATATAGGGTGGAGTACCCAAGGATCGGGCGGTTATCCTCAAAACTCGGTTATATAGGGTGGAGTACCCAAGGATCGGGCGGTTATCCTCAAAACTCGGTTATATAGGGTGGAGTACCCAAGGATCGGGCGGTTATCCTCAAAACTCGGTTATATAGGGTGGAGTACCCAAGGATCGGGCGGTTATCCTCAAAACTCGGTTATATAGGGTGGAGTACCCAAGGATCGGGCGGTTATCCTCAAAACTCGGTTATAGGGTGGAGTACCCAAGGATCGGGCGTGTATCCTCAAAACTCATAGGCTACATTTAATGATCTAGGACCGGATGGTGTCCTTATGATAATTCATTTGAACAAGGAGGAGTTCTATACACTCATAGGTATATGGGTGGGTTGGGATTTAAGTCAAGGATATTGGCTACTATTATTTTCCCAAATAAACAATGACCTACGGGTCGGGTATTTCCAAGTGTATGTATACTAATATGTATTTCAAACTTGGGGGAAGGACTATACGTATATGTATCATCCTATGTTTGGGTCTTATACTTGAAACGCTAGTTATTCTATATTTAGCCTGCTACTCGCTCGGTACTTGTACTGACCCCTTCGGGGGGCCCCACCATTCTCAGGTTGAAGCTAGGGCTTGCCACCTGCACCTTCCTACGGGTGACATCAAATCAAGGAAGACGTGGTTCGTGCTTCCTCATTTTATTTCAAATTACCAAACATTGCTCATGGATATTTTTATTTGTTATAAACTATTCTTTTGGGGCTTGCATGCCCATGTTATTGGCCGGTTGTGGCTTATGACTTACCGTTGAATATTTCCGCTATTCATTGGTTTAAATGTGATGTTGTTATGTATGTTTACTACTGAGTATGGATGGATTATTTTTCTCGAACGCCTTGTGTAATCAAGTGAGGTTGACTCGCGGGTGACATCACTTGATTTCACGGCGGTTGTACACGCGCTTGGATTGCGGTCTGGGGCGTGACAATTTTA